AAAGAGGCATCTCTGTCAGCCTGTCTTGCAATCTGCCACTCTCTCGCTCTCTCTCTCTCGCTAACATTTTTGGTTTGTGCAGATTGTTAGCCGTCCTCCAGCACACGTTGTGTCTTTTTACTGTATGTTTCTCTTCTTTGTTTCCCTCTTGTCCACAAGAAAAAGAATATTTCCTGTGTGAAAAAGCTAAAATAGTATATTAAAATTAATGGCAGATATGTTGGAGGAATGAAGCCAAGTTTCACATTCTACATGAATGTATGTGTAGGTCTCTTACCAGTTGCCGTCACTCTCACTTTTTCACATACATACACAACATCCGGTATTTGTTATGCCCACAAAATAGCAAGTAGCAGGACACAGAACAGGAAGCAAAACTGAACAGAAACGTGAAACCCAAGCTAGCAAATGTTCTCTTCACATGTGGCAAATTACATGTTTCTATCTGCATTGTCAAGAAAATTCAACTAATCACACATTTTTTGTTGATTGCTGCTATGAAATCATCCAGTGGAATGAATGCACATCCTCTCACACACACATATGCATGCACTAAAACATCTGTATGCAGTTGCATGCTGAGTCAACCTCCTTCTCCGGGGAATGGGTGTAATCTGCGAAAGCCAGCTCCTCTGTGTCTATGAGATATTGCAGAGAGAGAGGCGTAGGAAGCCCCCAAGCGTGTGAGCACACACACAAACACAAACACACACACGCTCTGTAAGACTAAAATAGCTCCCATCAAATGCAGAAACGTTCAGAGGTCCAGATCAGTCTTAAACAGGAAGCTCACACATAGAGAGGGTTTTAATACATGCTGTTGCAGTAATCTGCACGCACACACACACACAGTGGAGGCTGAACATATTCTGTCCTTTGTGTTCTTAAAGTATCCCTGAATGTGCAAATTTAAACCATTAAACTTAATCCCAAATAGTTAACCGACCCACTGAGCACAACCAAAAACATTCTCTCAGGAGCCAGAATGAAAGTTTGTGCCTGCATGGCCGATACTGAAGTCCATGGTTAATCTTAACAAGTTTTAAAATAAGTTTTTATCGCATCATTTTAGACGCCTTTTCAATGGCAATTACGGACTCATTTCAGACATACTTGTTAAAGTACAGTTCATTCAACTTTACAACTATCGGCAAGTACAATTACTTTATATTCACAGTTAAAGAAGCACAATTTCACACACTGGCTGCGTTGAAAATAATCGACTTGTAAGCCATCCAGCTTTATATTTTACTTACAGCCTCTGTAGCATCTCCATCCCAGCCACTTAATGACTGCCAATGTAGGAATGAACAATGAATGAAGATTACAAATATTATTTCTCAAAACTAGAACATTTTTAAAATTAACTATCTATAAATAAACTGTTGAGAAATAACCTTTCTCTTCACTTAAGGCTGAAAAACTAAAGACATTTCAATTGCACCGACCAGATTTGAAAACGACATGAAATATGGCTGGCAAGGTTGTAATAGCTGTAATTGTTACATTCCACAAAAATAACCAACTAGTTGGCCTTTTTAAACTATTTTCATCATAACTTTAACCTTTACTGAAACGTTAACTTAGTTAGCTACATGTATAATTAGCAGATCTTAGCTAGCTATCCTGTGCAGTGGTAAAGAAAAAGTAATTTATTCATTCATTCATCTTCCTTCTGCTTTTCTTGGTGGTGATTCTGGCAACAGGCTGAGACCTCATCATCCCTGGCCACAGATTTCAGCTCCTCCCTGGATGTTCCCAAGCAAACACTGAGATGTAATCTCTCCAGCAAGTCCTAGGCCTGCCATGGTATCTTGGGCCCAGTGGGACAGGCCTGATGGAGCTCTAGCAGAAGCCGACCAGGGGGCTTCCTTGTAAGGCGCTCAGACCACCTCAGCTAGATCCTCTTGATTTAGAAGAGCAGCAGCAGCTTTATTCCAAGTTAATCTCCCTTATTCTTGACCTCCTCACCCTATCCCAGAGAGTAAAGCTCAGCAACCCTCATTTCTGCCTCTTCTTGTGACCTTATTCTTTCTGTCACTACCCACAGCTTGTGACCATGATGATAGGGACATAGATTGAGAGGTAAACAGAAAGATAGTTAAAATCTGCTGCCAGGGGCAAGATCTCTACACTCACCTGAAGGGAGCAACCCATTAGTTTCTGTAAAGTGTGGGGCATCCTTGTAAAGTGTCCAAACCACCTCAACTGGCTCCTCTTGCTACAGAGGACCAGTAACAAGGCTGTTGAGCTCTTCACACTATCATGGAGAGTAAAAGCAGTAACCCTGTAGAGGAACCTCATTTCTGCCTCTACTTGTGACCTTATTCTTTCGGTCACTATCCACAGTTCATAACTATAGGTGAGGACAGGGATGTATACATGACCAGTAAACAGAAAGCTTCATCTGAAAACTGAGCTCCTGCCTCACCACCACAGACTGGAAGTGTTGTGTGGGGAGTGTAATTTGGAAAATGTGGGGCATTCTGTTAAAATACCGATACCACCTCAACTGGCTCCTCTCAATTTAGAGAGCACCATGGCCTTTCATTTGGAGGTGCTGATTTTTCATCCCAGCCAGTTCACACTCATCAGCAGAGCGTTCAAATACATATTAAAGGTCCAATTCAGATGGTGCCAAGAGAACAACAGGGATCTAGCCCCCTGTACTAGCCACCTACCCAACCTTGGCTGTGTCTTGATAACCTGTCCATGAAAATCACAAACAGGACTGAAGATGACACACCTTTGATGGAGTCTGACACCTTTAATGGAGTCCACTTTAAATGATTTCAGCTTGACACCAACTATGTGGACACTCTCACTGTACTCATACAGAGACCGGATTGCGCAGTAGTGATGCAGCTACTCTGTATTCCTTCAGTACTTTTTGCGAGAAATTTTTGAGGCATATGATCACAGGCCTTTTTTATGTCCACAAAACACGTGTAGACTGGATTAGCATACTCCCATGACCCTTCATAAAACTGTGCAAGACTAAGAGTAAGACTTTTAGGAGTAAAATTAAGGGTACTTCCTTGGACAATGTAGGGTGAGGGAATGTACAGATTCTCAACCATCATTATGGAGTACACCCTGTCCGGGACATTTTTATCATTATGGCTTTGTAAACCCAAGAGTGACTGACTAGACACGTGTTTCTCTGTGTGTGCTGGAGTGGGACAGTGCCGGTCATTAACTGAGCGGATATCTATGCTCTCCCAGTACCACTGTGTACGATGTCCTCCCAGCACCATTATTGATTCTCTCTATAATTAGTGTTTGTCTTTGCTGCATTCCCCCCACAAGGCAAATGCATCCTATATCCGAGTCTCAGTCAGCACAAGATCATTGCCCGGTTCATTTCATTTGCAAAGCTCGAAATGAAATGAAAAGCACTTTATGGCTTAGATGAAAATTGTGTCTGTGTGAGTGAGTGTATGTATTTTATCAGGCGGTATGTGCTATTTAGTCAAGCCTCTGGGTTTCTGTCTGCTGTGGGCTGTTAGTGGACTGATGGCATTTACATGCACTATAACGGACAAATAGGGAATTCAATCAACCTGTCGGGCTTTACAGCCTGATAACATTAGTGTGAGCAGTGGGATGGAATAATCATTAGCCGTGATGTCTTTTTGGCGCACACACACTCATATATACACATTCCCTTTATCAAGACCCTGGAGAGATCGATAGCACTGAGTCTGTGTCACCAAGCAACAGTGGCTTTGCATCTGTGCAGCCTAAAGATCCGATTCTTTTGTCTCTTATACTCATGCATGCACACAGCATGACAGCCATACCTGTGATGGTGTAGGCATAAGGAAAACCACTCATCTACCAGGGTGAGAATTTACAAATGTTGATGGCAACAGAAACATGAGAGCTGATAGACAAAGAAAGAAGAAATGAGTGGAGTGTCTTGGCTTGCAAGAGGTTATGACACTTTTTTCTGCTGACAAGTTCTTTCTGTGGCAAAGCAAACAAGAGCATGTTTACAGAGAGAAGAACATGCTCCTGTACATGTTGTGTCCATGTATTGTCTAAACATTTGTCTTATGACAGCTAAGGTGGCACCATGAGACTCAGTAGCAACCAGTCTGCCATTTTTACGTGGATTGATTTTTCCTCATAGGAGAGCAAACCCTTCAACCCTTCTAAGTGTAGTGTACACATACAAACTCAAACATACTTGCCAATTTGTCTGTATCAGGGGTATTGAACTAAAATTTGTAAATGTCAAGTTACGTAAAAGTTCTGACTTACAAAGGTCCAGATACACAACTGCAAATTCCTTACTTACAAAGGTTCAGATAAGCCACATAACTTTTAGCGCTTTACCATAAATCATTGCTTAATGTCTATAAATTAGACAACTTGAAGTGGTTATGTTTTGTTCCGCACTAACGCTTCATGGTACCACTTTTTTCACCACCGTGACTATGACGTAGATAAAGCAGTTACTGAAGATGAATGAATGAATGTGCACAGTCATATAAGCAACCCATACATAACATCCCATGTTGATGAACATGGCTTTTCTTTGTGTCACAAGCTGTATTAAAGTAAAAGCTGCCTGCCCCTGCAACATTTTGGTACTGATGCACACCTGCACTCTGAACAGATTTCACTAATCAGACCAGAAAGACCAAATTAAAAAAACCCTTCCCTTTCTAACCCTTCTAGCTCTCTCGGTAGCTAGTCTCTGGTCCAATGAACTGCCATAAACTAGATAATATATGTAAATGCATTTGATTGGATAAGCTGAAACAGATGATCTACTGCAAAAGTTGTTTATGTTTTGAAAAGTTGCCAAACAAAAGCCAAATATTATCAGACATTTTTTGGTTCTGCTACAGTATTTTTTCCAGTTATTGTTTCAGTCCAGTGAAATAATTTGCTGGGTTCGCATCCTAACCATGAGTTGATGACCCCTGGTCTATAGTGTAGATTTTCAAGATATTAATTTTTAAGCATACACTATATTGCATACAGGTTGGTCCCTGGAGGACTAGTGGTTAGGCCTCGGCGCTCTCGCCGCCATGGCCTGGGTTTGATTCCCGGCCAGGGAGCCACCCCCAGCCACTGGGGTTGCCTCCCAGTGTCAGTTCCAAGCCCGGATAAAATTGGGGAGGGTTGTGTCAGGAAGGGCATCCGGCGTAAAAATCAAATGTGGCAAATCAAATATGCGGACCAGTAATCCGCTGTGGCATCCCCTACTGTGGCAACCCCAACTGTGCGTAATGGCTGATAGGGTGCCGATTCAAACCGTCACAACCATCATAGATTCCTGCTAACCTTGGTATTTCCAGTTTTGGTTGATCCCCTTAGGATACACCATGGTCTCATCCAAAAAGTCTGTTACTTCTTATTTCTTTTTGTGTTGAAACAATTTGATTGTAAAAAAAAAAATCCTAGTCTGAGGAAGTTCGATCGGGATACGGAGCTCAATGCCGTACAAGCGCACAGTCAAGGTCATGCAGTGTGATTAATTGTGAATTAAGGTTGTAAATGAAGATCACAATTGTACATGAAAATGACACAACTGTAAATGAAGATCGTGGAGCAAAAAGAAGGAGCATGCAGCAGATGAGCGAAGTATTATAAGCATGACCACACAGCTTAATTAGCGAGGGAACAGCAATCAGCATCGAGTAACCGCACACGCTGCAGCCTGGAGGAGAGCATGTGTTCTAGCTAACAGGGCGATCGGAGCAAAACCATCAGAGCTTGGACTAATACATATTCTCTCTTGTGTGTCTCCATCTCCCTCTCCTTTCTGTCTGTTAACCCTCGGCCTCTTTCTGAGGGCTATAATCGAATTTGTCCGCCCACCTCCCTGCAGCACAGAGACGGGGGCTTTGTTATACACTCACAATCACACACACATTCACACACACACACACCATTACTGCAGTGCCTCTCCATCAGTACACAAAGAGGAGCCATAAAAAGACTGGTGCAGTGTGCGGGGGAGCCAAGTCTTAAAAAAAAAAAAAAGTGTGTTTAAATTTAGTACAACTAGAGTTTTTGTTCATTGCATGTTAAAGATATGAAGTTGGGGGGTGGTGTGTTAAATTGATGTGTGTGAGACTGCGTGTACATTTGTTTGCATGTCTCTATGTGTGTGTACAAGTGTATGTGTGTGTACGTGAGACAGGGCTGTAACATGACGCTTGCTCAGCTTTCTCAGTTCAAACCAAATGAACCACATTCAGTTGCTATAAGTGCAGAGAGCAACGTCTGACTTCTATACATCTCCCTAAAACTAGAACCTTTCTGCCTTAAAGGAAAAATCCACCCTGACGTCATGTCAACATGGCCGCTCACACCGTCAACAGTAAATAAATTAAGTAAATATCACATTAAAAGATTTTACAGTGGTATTTACTTGTAGATTAATCACCACAGACACATTAATTGGTTAAATCTATAACACTGACCATACAGTTAATTGTTTTGAGAAAGTAAATACATCATAAACTCACGATCACTGATGTGTTAGCTGGCTTGCTTGTTGCTAAGAAAGCACACAGTTTCATTGACATGTTTCATGGAGGTGTTTTTTTTCCCCTCTTTGTAGCTTGAAGCTTGAAAATTACATAATTTGCAGCAGTGCTTTAGTCCTTTAGCCTGTTCATCCGTACACTCTATTTATAACTATCTATAACATATTCAGCTTTTGTGCTAATATAGCCGTCAATGCTTTTGTGCTTGTCATCTTGTAGGTTGCTAACTTAGCCCATCTACATGGTATAACTGCTCTGCATTCTGGAAATTTGAGTCCATCGTTTGCTGTGTCCTCTGTTGGATTTCTCATTAATATAATATTGAACATGAAAGTGGTGGGTGAGAAAAGAAGACTCGGTTTGTTTTTTAGGACCTATCAGTGACTTCTCACAGGAATAAAGAAAATAAAGCAAATTAGCACCAGAATCTCTGATCAAGTCCCAAATAGTTTAGTATAAACACATTAAACGTGTTTATCGCTAGAGTTTTCCTTTAAATTAATTAAAGCACTTGCGTTATCATTTGGACTGCTTGAAATTTAATTACAGTGCTAATTCATATCGATACGAGACAGTTTAAATCTATAGAGGATTACCTCTCATCCTGCTTTATAGTCTGTATGAATTACATATCTCCTATTTCAAGTGTCAAGTATCAAGTGGAGTTTATTGTCATTTCAGCCATATACAAGTACATAGTGAAACGAAACAACGTTTCTCCAGGATCAAGGTGCTACATAAGACAAACACAGAACTACAGGGACTACATAAATTATACATAAAGTGCACAAGTACGAACATGTGCAGACAGCACAAGACAGAACAAGACAGTACAATGACTACAACGCTGACCAGTATGCAGTTCTGTTTAAAGTGACCTAGTGACAATAGTGCAAATATTACAGAGTTTGATATAAATAGCTGAAGTAGTGTACACAGTGTAAACATAATAGTATCAGCAGCATAAAACATGTGCAAACCATGTGTAAAACATGTGCATAGAGGATGGAGGATGCTCAGTTGTGTGTGTGTATATATGTATGTGTGTGTGAGTGTGTGTGTTCCTTCAGTCCTGTTGTGTGTGTGTATATATATGTATGTGTGTGTGTGTGAGTGTGTGTGTTCCTTCAGTCCAGTTTCTAGGTATTGAGGAGTCTGATGGCATGAGGGAAGAAACTATTACACAGTCTGGTTGTGAGGGCCCGAATGCTCCGGTACCGTTTACCAGACGGCAAGAGGGTAAAGAGTGTGTGAGAGGGGTGTGTGGGGTCATCCACAATGCTGGTGGCTTTGCGGATGCAGTGTGAGGTGTAAATGTCCATGATGGATGGAAGAGAGACCCCGATGATCTTCTCAGCTGTCTTCACTATCCGCTGCAGGGTCTTGCGATCCGAGACAGTGCAGTGATGCAGCTGCTCAGGATGCTCTCAATAGTCCCTCTGTAGAACATGGTGAGGATGGGGGTGGGAGATGTGCTTTCCTCAGCCTTCGCAGAAAGTACAGGCGCTGCTGGGCTTTCTTTGTTATGGAGCTGGTGTTGAGCGACCAGGTGAGGTTCTCCGCCAGGTGAACACCAAGAAACTTGGTGCTCTTGACGATCTCCATGGAGGAGCTGTGCTCTATGCTCTTCTGAAGTCAACAACCATCTCTTTAGTTTTGTCCACATTCAGGGACAGGTTGTTGGCTCTGCACCAGTCCCTTAGCCGCTGCACCTCCTCTCTGTATGCTTACCCGTCGTTCTTGCTGATGAGACCCACCACGGTCGTGTCATCGGTGAACTTGGCGATGTGATTCGAGCTGTGCATTGCTACACAGTCGTGAGTCAGCAGAGTGAACAGCAATGGACTGAGGACACAGCCCTGTGGGGCCCCAGTGCTCATTGTGGTGGTGTTGGAGATGCCGTTCCCGATCCGGACTGACTGAGGTCTCCCAGTCAGGAAGTCCAGGATCCAGTTACAGAGGGAGGTGTTCAGGCCCAGCAGGTTCAGCTTTCCAATCAGGTGCTGAGGAATGATTGTGTTGAATGCTGAACTGAAGTCTATGAACAGCATTCTAACATAAGTGTCTTTATTGTCCAGATGGGTGAGGGCCAGATGGAGGGCGGTGGTGATGGCGTCATCTGTTGATCATTGATCATTTAAATGATCCATAAAATCGCATTTTACATTTTTCACAGAAAGATGATGAAGAGGAGGACAAAAGAGACAAGGTCTACTTAAAATCAAACTTATCATGAAGTGCAGATATTCAATCTCTTGATCTTTTAGATCACATTATGTGGATCAGCGTCGTATTTATGTGAGCAGTGTGCTCTGAATTCACCGTCGCTATGTCACTGGCATCGTAACTGTAGTTGATTGTGTGTCAGTGATTTGTCAATTGCTGGAATAGTGGACAAGAAGAAAATAGTTGCAAATAGAAGAAAAAAGCTTCCAAGCTAAGAATCAAAAATGTCACATAGCTGCTAGTTGAGAGTGTGTTATATTCAGTAGTCTAAGCCTTATATTTAGAAACATGTCTGCAGTGTGTGTGAGATGATATGATGGATTAACTAAATTTAACTTAATCTTTTATTAGGATTAGGATTGATTGCTAGAGATTCGTGCATATGATTGAATGATGCTTTATGGTGTTCTGGATCTACAGCACAACAGTGTTTAATTTGATTTCATAAAACACATTATCTGTTCATTCACAATAATGTATTTGTATTGTATTCCCTTTAAAAGTGGTAACTTACCATATATGTACATCTTGCAGGTGTAAAGTTACCAAATGTTGCCAAGAATTTGAAGCTTTGTACAGTGTCATTAGCCTTCATCCCACTGATTTTGATAGCAATTTGGTAGCAATCTGTGCTACTGGTTTCAATCATACAGTAGTTTACCTTTGCTAATCGACATGCCATACTTATGTTAACACTGTGTATACTTACTGGTAAATTTCCTAGACACCCCTAGGAAAGGTGCAATATTCAATTTTTATTTATTTATTTATTTATTACTACAGGGATTCTTAAACTAAGGAACATGTGGGGTCGCTTGATTTTCAAGCTCTTTTGCTATTTACTTTACAAAATAATGTTAGGTATATCACTCAAAACTATGAAAACATGGTGCTATTTTGAGATGTTACGAGGAGTCACACTGCACTAGTGTTGGAGTTCAGCAATAAAAATGGACAAATTTCTCCCTAGTTCTACCTCTGCTAGTTTCTCGACAACATCTGAGTTGAACAACAGAAGTCAAGAAATCACAGATGAAAATATGTTGAAACAAAACATTTACTGAATATGGATTTACGATCATGATAATAAATAATGAGAAGAAGCCAGGATGCCTCATGTGTGAAATTTCTTTGCATGCACTGAAAATGATGATTCCCTTTGCATGCTGCTATCAGGGTCAATCCATGTGAAATCACACAGTGAGAAGGCCTCCTGAGTGACCATCTCAGATTTGCTTCATACAAAAATCTTTCTGACTGGAAATAAGGACATATCTGGAAATAATCTCACTATTCCCAGTAAATAGAGTGCAAGATTTCAGGCTTGTACCCTAATC